TGACTTGTGTGGATCATAACAAACTGTGGCTGACTCTGAAAAGAATGGGAATCCTAGAACACTTGATTGTGCTAATGTAAAACCTATACTTGGACCAAGAATGGAGCAAGGAAACACCGCATGGTTCAAAATTGGGAAGGGCGTATACCAGGGTTGTGTCCTGTCTCCATACCTTTTCAACCTGTATGCAGAACAGAGTATCCGGGAGGCTGGGCTCTATGAGGAGAAATGTGGGGTCAAGATTGGTGGAAGATCTATCAACAATCTGCATTATGCAGATGACACAAGCCTGCTTGCTGAAAGTGAGGAAGACCTCATGCACTTGCTGCAGAGGGTCAAGGACTGCAGCCTTCAATATGGATTGAGGCTCAATATCAAAAAGACAAAAATTCTCACCACTGAACCAATTGGCAGCATCAGGCTGGATGGTGAAGAGACTGAGACTGTTCACAGCTTTAGTCTGCTTGGCTCCACAGTCAATACTCTTGGCAAAAGCAGCCAGGAAATTAAAAGATATATTGCGATGGGAAAGCCTGCTGTTAGGGACCTCTCCAAAGCCCTGAAGAGCAATGGTGTCACTCTGGAAACTAAGGTGCATCTGATGCAGGCCATGGTCTTTGCAATCACTTGTTATGCATCAGAGCTGGACAGTGACTAAGGAGGATAGAAGGAGAATTGATGCCTTTGAGCTGTGGTGCTGGAGAAGAGTACTGAGTGTACCATGGACTGCTAGGAAAAGAGATTCACCCTAGAGAGGGTTAAACCAAGCTGCTCCTTGGAGGCAAGGATTCTGAATCTCTGTCTAACATACTTTGGACATGTTGTAAGGAGGGACCGGTCCTTGGAGAGGGACATCATGCTTGGGAGGGTGGAGGGCCAGCGCAGGAGGGGAAGACCCTCTATGAGGTGGATTGATTCAGTGACTGGGGTAATCGGGATGGGTGACAATGAGATTGGCACAGGACAGAGCAGGGTTTAGGGTTGTTGTACATAGGGTCGCTATGAGTCGCAAGTGACTAGACAGCACATAACAACAACAACATAAATCACACGGGAGGAAATCATCTGTCTCCTGCTGAGCAGCGGATGGATTTGCTGTTGGCAGCACAGTTCCTTATGACTAGGCCACCAGTTTACAGTTCCGGAAGTCACAGTAGTTGAGTTGCTGTGTCACCTCCAACCATAACAATTCCTCATTCTTTTCTAATAGTCTCTTACTGCAATATAGAAAGTACATACATATATTTATTAATTGCAAGCATGTACCGGAAGCCTTTAGATTTAAAAATAATGAGAAATTATAATATTTTCTTTCTCTGTGCCATGGGATTCCTCCATATATCTTAATGTGTGTGTGTGTGTGTGTGTGTGTGTGTGTGTGTGTGTGTGTGCGCGCGCGTGCGCGCGCTTCAACAAGTGGGATTTGACTGGCACAGGAGGAGACTGCACACACCCCCTTCTCCAGTGGCGCACCTGGTGGATTTGAACCATGCCCTTTAGGATTATAGCACAGTTTCTAGCCACTAGGCCACCAGAGCTCCCTTCTCTTAATTATTTTTTATTTTTATGGTGAGAAAAATGTGTATTTAGAATCAGCCAGGTGAACTCAGTTTAGATGATCCCAATTTTGTTGGCAACATTCAAAGCATCATAATCAGGAGCAAGTTGAACACAGGACTTCAATGTCATAGAGCTTCTTTACCGTGTGTTTAATTTGGTGCTTGTTGGCCTTGACATCCACAATAGCACAAGTGTGTTGTTTTCATCTTCATGGCTGACTCGGTGGTCAAGGGATATTTGATGATGGCATAGTGGTCAAGCTTGTTTCTCCTGGGGGCGCTCTTCTGGGGGCATTTGGGCTGCCTTTGGAGTCTCAGGGTCTTAGGCCGCTGGAAGGTGGGTGACGTGCGGAATGCGGATCTTCCTTTTTTTCCCGTATGGATCTTCTTTTTTTTTTTTTGGCTGTGGATGCCCTTCAGGACTGTCTTCTCGGCTTTTAGCGCCTTTGATTTGGCTTCAGTTTTGGGAGGGGCAGGGGCTTCCTTCGCTTGTGGTGCCATCTTCATAGAAAGGTATCTTAATTTATTTTAAATAGTATGAATGTGGCTGACTTTAACTAGATTATTTTGGGAAAGGTCACATGAAAGTGTTATTAAAGATTTCAGTCTTTGTTAGATAGAATCTTCAGATGGCTACCACCATCTCAAAAAGATAGCAACTTAAAATTAACAGCCACATTAGCATCATTTAAAGCAAATGATTGTAACCATCTTAAGGACCATTTCATTCTGACCACGTATGAGCTAAATATGAAGAATTTTGTCACATACAATGACCTCTAATGGATAATTTCAACACATACTTGAAGGAAATGTAAGAGAAAAGATTCACTAAATGAATATCCATTCTTCTTTGTTTTTTAACTCTATTAAAAAATGATATATGACAATCCTAAAAGTAATTAATCATTGAAAGTAGCTACTAATTTAATCTTTTCAAATATATAAAACAGAAATCTCAAATGCACTAAAAAATAAATTAATAAAATTAATACCCAGTACATTAAAACATCCAGACATTACAAAACAATTACTACTTTAAAGTCTTAAGTACCAGCAAGCTGCTGACGGTGCTAAATTAAGTCTACACTGTCAGAGAGTCATTAACCAGTGTAATCTCTGGCAATTAGGACAAAGCACTCAGTGTTATTATTCGATTCACACAGAGCCATAGCTGTATCATTTAAGACTTCTTTGACTAATCTCAATTACCTAAGAAAAGGAATTCTTCTATAGAAACAATGAGAGACTTATTTTTAAATGTCAAACATTCGTACATGTATAGTCTGTAAATGCAAAGGGGAAGGAAAGCAGAGATGTTAATTTAGTATTAATGGAACTCATTATCCTTTCTGAAGAATTCATAAGAGGAACAGGGTGATTCCGAATTGATAGAATGTTCTAACAGATGTCATGCCTCAATGAGGCAAGGTCCCAGGATAAAAGAATGTCCCCAACTTACTCTATAATGAGCAATATAGAGGAAGATGATGGCTATAAAGTATCTGCTGGCGTGCCACTGACTTCACTTCGTTTTCTCTTGACCCCGAACCACCGTGGCACCTGCGGGATTCAATTCTGAATGTCTCCCTCTCCTTTTCTCTCCCCATCAACTTCATTCTCTCCAGCCCAGACCTCACCACACGGCCAGACTCTGATCAGACTGCCCTTCTATAGTCCCCACTTAAGACGGCTCACCACTAACCACGGCTCTTAAAACAGCCAAAATTTCCTGAGCACTTCACTAGGGTGAGGCTTTATTCTGAGTACTTTCCAAGTAACACTGCATTTGAGCTACAACAGCCCTTTGAGGTGGGTACTATAATCATTCTATTCTTTCAGTGAGAAAAGTTAGCTCACAAGGTATCTAGTCGCTTGAGCACATGTGAAGAGCCCGGATCCAAAGAGATCGTTCCCAATGATTCTGCTAAGGAAACAGAAAGTCTCCTTGTGACCTCAGGTGTATTACCTCTTGCTGACACAGGTCATTTGTTCCTGGGAGTGAGGAGGAGCATCTGTGATTTCTCCGTGTCCCTCACTGCCCAGACTGCAGGGTCTGTCAATCTTATCTCAAAAGTCCTTCTTCACGGTATGGCTACCACCATCTTCTATCACCAGGTTTGCAGAGAAATGCCTCAAAACCAGTCTCCTGGAACTCCATGCTTGTATACAAGTCTCCCCAAATATACCTTCCACTCAGCATTGAAAGGGGTCTTTATAAAATAAACATCAGATCATGAATTTACTTATAACCAGTAACTCGGAGCAGAAAATGAACAATATTCACTTTCAAACTGTCCCTCTGTTCCCAACCTGTCCTAAAACTGCATCTGGGGCATTCTCTCCCCTATAACTCACTCTGCTTTTAGCCATCTATTTTGTCCACTGACATTTAAAGTTCTTCAAGGTCAACAAGGTTTCTCTCTGGCCCTCCCCCTCCCTCTGATGACCCTCAGCAGGTGCAGCTTCTCCAGTTGGCAGGCCGGCAGGGGCCTGACCATGACCTCTAAACCCTACCCTCTGCCCCTCCTGCAAGCTCTTTGGTCTGGGATTATACACAGCGTTGCCCCTCAGTGTGAGGATATGTATACTGGACGGCCATCAGGCATGTTAGACGACCGTCGTGAGGTGCACCTGAGTGTGCTCACAGGGACCCCCTCCCTCGGAGCAACAACTGTGACCCCTGCCCTATCCTGCCCCATCCTCAACCCCTCCGGCAGTCATTGTGTCGATTCATCTCACGGAGGGTCCTGCTCTCTCGCTGACCCTCTACCTTCCCAGGTGTGATGTTTCTCTCAAAGGAATGGACCCTCCTGACAAAATGCCCAAAGTGAGACAAAGTTTCACCGTCCTTGCCTGTAGGAGGCACTTTAAGAGCATTTCCTTCAAATCCGATTTGCTGGCTCTCCTGGCAGTTCACGGGGTCTTCGACACTCAACAACGTATCTGGGGATCTGAAAGGGGAGCACTAGCCTTGCCCGGGCTCAACCCACACGCATCCCCTTAGGTATGTTTCTATTATCAGAAGAGACTAGCATCATGCAGCTTCTAGACTGGAAAACAATCACTTCTCAGGAAAAAAGTGATTACTGAAACATTAACAGTATAATCAATAAGACGGACAATTCTTGTAACCTTCCTTCCCGAATCCATGCCCCTTCTCCTTAAAAAAAGGGCAAACAGGCCAAAAGTCTCTAAGAGACAGTAGGGTGGGTAGGTTACTATAGACGGAACAAAACAGAAGAAATCTTAAAGACTCCTGCCCTAGAACAGACACAGGATACGGGTGGTTTATTGATGCTTGGTGATTTGATTTGTAATGATGAAAAGAAAGTTTCACCTGAAATGGGCCCATGAATCAATATGTGTAATTTAATAGAAGAACTGGCATCTTGAGTCTCCACGCTTGGAAATACCAAAATTTGTTCTTGAGGTACTTACTAGCATCGTCCATGAACTCAAAGTCGACACCTATTTCGGAACTTGAGAAGTGATACTGATTTGGGTCAGCCAGGGCGCTCAACAGAATCAACAGGACCACGGCATTGATGATCTGCAAGGAGAAAGACAAAATGAACTCTACGATATGGCTTTTAGTAACAGAAAGTTATACTTGGCCACGTGGAGTTTAATGTTGAACAAGGCCTGACCACGGGGAGAGCAGGACAGATTCCAAGGCTGAGACACTGCTAATGGGATCAGATGCAGCCAGCTCACCTGGCCTGGTGCACAGATGACTGCTGTCAGAGAGCTCTCCACCGCCTCCCTCACCCCCCAACCCCCGCAGAAGCACGGAAACTCTCAAGCTGGTCAAACACACCCTTAATAACCTCAGTATCCTCAGATGAGTGAACTGCTGACATTTCAGGCAAGCAGAGCTTTGAGATCACCTAAAGTGTGTGTTCATTCTTCAGGGGAGGGAACACGTGCCCACCTAGCACAGACTAGAGGTGTGTGCTCCTGCAACAGCACATTCAGCCCTTCAGTACTCCAGGCCCAAATCTGGACACTGGATGACGTTTCCCACAGATGCTGTAAACCAAGCTTGCCTAAACGGGAATCACCTTACCCTCTTTCCCAGCGCTCTTCCTCCATTTTTATCCTTTGTTCTATCCTGTTTGTAGAGAGCACCGGCAGCCTAGTGCCAAGAAGCTGTGCTGCAATCCCAAAGGCACACAATTTGAACCCACTAGCTGGGGTAATCGGGATGGGAGTGTCAGAGACAGTGTGACCGACACAGGACAGAGTAGAGTTTAGGGCTGTTGTAAACAGGGTCACTATTAGTCGGAAGTGACTCGACGGCACATAATAACAACAGCTGCTCTACAGGAGGATGGGCCAATCTCCTCCCATGTGATTACCTCCAAAAACCAGTCAGAGGATCAGTTCTGACTCAAAGGTACACAACCACCACCACCACCACTCCCACCCCCAGCCCCACCAGCATCACCCTCTTTTCCCCCGCTCCCCATTGGTAGTGATTAAGCACTTAGCTGCTTAACAAAAAGGACAGGAGTTCAAACTCAGCAGCCCACCCCTGTAAGGGAGAAGGGGTAGCCTGCTTCCAAAAAGATTTACAGCCATGGAAAATCAGGAAGTTCTATTCTGCCCTACTGGATCACTATGCCTGAGAAGTGACAGCAATGGGTTAACAGGTTATCTTTAAAGAAAAATCACTAGTATTAATTAGAAATAGGGAATATGTTAGTACTAACTATAAGGCTGAGATTATACTGAAGTCTTGATGTAGATTCTCTAAGCCCTACACTTACCTTATGGAGCTGCCTCTTAGTTACGCTCATTTTATAGATGCAAAAATGGAGGCACAGGCGTTAAGAATAAAGTAGCGGTAGGGTTTGAATCCAGTGATTATGATACCAAAATCTAACCACTTAAAGTCTCTTGAATCTCTATTTCCATTATCTTGAGTTCACCCTTTCTTCCAAGTCCTTCATTGCCATCCAACCAATTGCAGAATTACAGTCATTCCTGGTCTGTATTCCTACTTCCTTTACTCTTCCTAGCTGCTATGTGCAATTGCCTTAGAATCAACCTGTAGCTAGCTGAACCTCCAGGCGGTTTTCAGAGGCTGTAAATGGCACAGGAAGAAACTGCCCATCTTTCTTTTCTTCATACAGGGCAGTTGGTAGATTTGAACCACGTGTCTCTCTCTGGGTTAGCAACATAGCTTCTTCTTCCTTGACTTGGGTAAAGAAGTGAATGCCCAAGAGTTTCCATGAGGCACAAGCTGAAACCAGGTGTTTATCACCTCTTTCCTCTAAATTCAGAAATGTCCAGAATATGTTAGTCTTGTCAAAATAGAAAAGAAGAAACCTTTCACTCAAAGGGGAGGAAAAGTTGTTTCAGTAACGGCATTAACTAAAGGCATGTTGTGATGTACTGTTGGAGCCAACCCGCGGCTGATCCTCCAACAGGGCTCAGAGACAGTATCATCTCATGGGAGATTATCCATCTTTCTCCCTCAGAGTGGCTGGTGGACTTGAGCCATGTGCCTTCAGGTTGGCAGCTCAGCTCCTTACCACTAGGCCATCAATAGCTTTCTTGAACTAAAGGCATGTTCTTGTTGTTGTGTGTTGTCGAGTTGCCTGGGATTCCTAGCGACCCTATGTACAACAGTCCTAAACCCTGCTCTACTCCTTGCCTATCTTATTGTCTCCAACACGCCTATCTCCATTACCCCAGTGATTGAATCAATCCATCTCATCGAGGATTTTCCTCGCCTGCATTGTCCCTCCACCCTCCCAAGCATGACGCCCCTCTCCAAGGACTGATCCCGCCTTGCAACATGTCCAAATTATGTCAAATGAAGCTTCAGAATCCTTGCCTCCAAGGACCAGCCATAAAAATCATGTTTGAAAATACCAACTTACAGAAAGAGATTCAAATGGAGAGGCAGGTTCTTTGTTTTGTTAAAACATCCACGCCATACATTGTTAAATAGCAATCCCCTGTAGTGGTCGTTTTAGGGTTGCTTGAAATAATTTCCCCCCCTTTGTTTTCCCAATGGTTTAACAAGCTCTAATTGCTTTAGGGAAGAAATTATAATAAGAATAGCCATTCCCCAGAGTACACATACATGTTACTGATTTACATTGCTATTATAAGCATGTAGTTAAAAAACGTCCAAAAGGTACAGAAAGGTATACACTGAAATCTTTCTCTACTTCCTAACCATAAGTCACCCTCTCCACAGGGGTTATTACAACTACCAGTTCCTTGTTTCTCTTGGAAGGCCCACGTGACCTCCTGGCACATTTTAAAGAAAACGTGACTAACGAAGCTGTTTGAGGCAAATCCTTCAGAACACGTCTATGGCTTAAGGGAAAATACACACTAGTCCCACAACTGACACCATGTGTTTAGGGCAAAGATGTTATTTACTAAAACATTGTGTTTTCCTGACATCTCATTCCCTGTAAGCTTATCTTTCAAAAAAGGAGTAAGAAAGAATTATAGACTAAAACAAGATAACATGAAAGACCACTGGCTATGCCTTGACAATAACGTATCATTGTTTGTTGTTCTTATAATTTAAAAAGGAGGTTTACAAGTATGAAGAGGGGGAACATAAACCCTGGGGCTCACTGGATGCAAATTGGTAATGCGAGGAGATGCTAATGAGAAGTTGGAATCTACTCAGAGGCAGCTGGAACAAAGGCCTGCAGACCCTCCAAAAGTCACTGAAATCCCCAGGAACCAGAAAGACAAAGGGTCAACTCGACAGCAACTGGTCGCAAGCTGGAATAGAGAAAATTGTAAGGAATTGGGAGGGCAAGAGATAAACATGTAACAGAGCTGGGGCTTTCTATGAAGCATTAAGATGTCAATGGAGAATATTAAGAAATAGAAAATTGTAGGGTTCAAATGAAGAGATGTGTGTAAACCACCACGAAGGACTGAGATGTTACCATCTTCTCACCTTAACAGAAACCTCGGAGAAGCTCTCAGCTTGCATTAGGAAAGAATCTGTTTGGATCATCTAAGCAGAAAAGGTACAGCCAGCGCGGCTGCTTTCCTGCCCGTTCAGTTTCAATGAACTTGTCAACTCTTAATCAGCTTGTTATTAATCCTATGCTTGGTTCACTCATCAAAATACATTAACTAATTGCCTACAACATCTCAGGCACACTGCTAAGTGCTTAGAAAGAACTCCCCACGACTCAGCGTGAGGTGAAATAAATCACGTACCCAACATAAAAGTCTAACAGAAAGCATGAAGCAGCAAGCATGACAAGAGTCAGAGGTGGAATTAGGGAAGCTCAGAGAAGGGGTTTACCGAAGCCTGGAGGTGGGGGTGGCAGCCAGGAAGGTGCAATTGAGCTGGCACCATTTGGACTAGGACTGGAAAGATGAGGATTTGGAACCTGAGAGAGATGTGGGGAAAAAACCAATTCCAATATGAGCAAAGGCTCTGGGATGAGGCTTGTACTGAATAGCAAGTAGTTTCCTTTGGCTGGAGCATGGGGCATGTCCAAGCTGTAGGGGATAAAGCAAGAAACAGGCTGGGGCCAGCTGCTACAGACTCCTGACGGCCATGCAAAAAACGGGAGCTTTCCTCGAATGGCCAGCGGAGACCCCTTCAAGGTATCTGAGGAAGGAATGATGTGATCATTAGGAAAATCAAACTGGCAGAGCACAGGGTCGGTTGAACTGGAGGCAAGAAGCCGAGCTGTAGGCTTCTGCAATCATCTGGCCGGGAGCTAATCAGGGCTTATCCACTACATCACCAGTTCTCATGACAACCCCATAAAATAGCTTGTTATCTGTATCTCACAGGTGACTTTGGGAGGTTAAGTAGCTTTCCCCTAGATTTGCTGTTTTGTGTGGGAGAGCCATTCTGAAGCTGAAGGCCGTTGTTAAGAGGCACAATTTAAGACACACAAGCAAGGACAAAGCAAGAGATGCAAATGTAGCTGAGATTTCATGCCTGGGTAACTACGTGCCACAGTGCCAAGGCCATACTTAAAGACTCATTAAGGCATAAACAGGTCAAAGACAAACCATTCTGGAATGAAGGAAGCCATCAGCATGACGCTGAAGAAAGTCCACTATCACAGTCATTTCTTTAATGTCTACAAAGGGGGGACAAGATTGTCACCATTTGATGACTGATGGCGGTTACCACCTACCAGGCAGGGTTACACAAGCAAGTAAAGGACCACATGCACGTAACTGCAGATGTCAAATCCACAGGCCTGGTTCCCCGGCCAGGTGGAGATAACAGTCCCAACTCATGCACTTGCCATTTCTAGTCATACATCATGGTCATGGTTACCAGGACCCAACTTTTAAGTGAGGAGTTCTGGTGGCGCGGTGTGTCATGTGCTGGGCTGCTCAGCTGCTCCGAGAGACAAAGGTGGGCAGTCTCCTCCCTTACAGATTGACTGTTTCAGAAACCTGAGAGGGGGGTCGCTGTAAGAACAGGGCAGTGCAGTTTACAGATCATGGGACTATTTCAGGTTCTTCACACAGGTCTGAAGACAAAAGCACATCGACCGCAGGCCTGCTTGGAAGCGGTAACCTACTTTCAAC